CTCCAGCTTCACGAGAGTTCGCAGGTTCCACCACAGTGGGACTTGCGAACCGGAACTAGTGAAGCAACGATAGTGCAAAATGCACCACCCCTTCCCGAACTGCGCCGAGTTTTCCTAGATCATCTGCTATTTCCCATCAAACTATGTGAACGAAATCGAAATGTTCAAGCGTTGCGTTGTGTAACATGCGAACTTCACGCGCACTAAAAGTCCAAAATGAATCATCGTTCGTCGTTGCTCATCCCAACAAAGTGATTGCTTTTCAGACGTTACGATTCCGAATCGTAAACGTCTCTTCTTTTCCTCTAAGTCTTCTTCAAAGCCCACAGGCAACGTGGTGGCCGCGTCTGGCTGGTTGGGAGGAATATAAGTTAGTGGAGGCTATGGATTCACCTCCCTCCTCTGAGTCAACTAAATTTCCTGAGAAACGACGGGGTGAATGTAGATGGGAAGATAGTTAAAGGGAGGTAAGATTCAAGTTGGAGATTCGAGATGGGAGCGTACGTGAGGAAGCGCTTATCTGAAGGGTCGCACTGATTAACAAGTTTCCTCCCCCCCCCCTTCCCAAAAGATCGGAAGAGGTAGGAAACTTACTAAAAGACACTGAAAATGCCATGGAAGGGAGTTTTAAAACAAGGCTGTGGAATCGCACTCTCCCGAAATCAGTGAAATCAAGTCAGCGAAATCTTCTGGGAAATAGTGGAATAAGTGTAGATGAGGAAATAGCCAAAGGGGGTGAAGTTCAAGAAGTTCAAGTTTAAGGCGTCGGGGTAGAGGCGTGCGTGAGGATGCAAGCGAGCTAATCACAGACATTTCAGCATAACTACACGCTCGCAACCGCACGCATATGTCCTACATTATTGCACAAAGTGACTGTTCTCCCATAATTTGGCTTGATGTCAGTTCTATAAGCTATACAGCCATCTGCGTACGGATACTCATTGTTTTATTTATTTATTTATTTGCCTGTTTACTTATCTGGACTGCGCGTTCCAAGCCTGAGCCTTCAGGGGAAGGGATCCGGAACTGTGGCCGAGTGGTCCCCACCCCTTCCTAATAACGTCAGCACTAAATCCATCCACAAATTTTCATAATCGTTTGATCCATACTTTTGTAGAGGGAAATAATGTAGTTTCTAAGCGATGCTACCAAAGTGTAGGGTCCTGGCGTTAGATATCGGATCGACCTCTGCTCGGGCTTGGCCTTCCATCCTTCTGGGATCGGTAAATCGGTCAAAGGGTTATCAGGGATGATGAATAAACTGACCTGAACATCGGCTTGGATTCCGAACTGAAATAGAATGCGTTGTGCATCCCAGAAACTATTGATTAACAGCGAAAGCTTTGTCCTTTTTATCCTTTAATTGGCGATGTTCTTAGTCTACATCTATGAACAGGAGAAGTCTCTCTGTCTGTCAGGCCCGGTTCCTGTCCCTTGATGAATATCGGTCTGCTCCGACGTGTCATTCAGCTAGCTGGCTTGAGTGAATCGACTCGACTTCTAGCTGCCTGAAGTTCCCACTGTTCGGACACTTTCCCGTGGTTTTTCAGCAGCAGTTAAGTCAGGAAACTCCGAGTCGCGGCCGCTTGCTGGCCGGGAGTATTCGTATGGCATTTGCGTTTTTCTGTTGGCTTACTCACAATTCTTAATTACTCCTGGTGTCCCGAAATTAACTAATAGTTTGCCTGAGCGGGTTGCGTGCGGGCAATTGCCTCTGGGTCCCACCTTAGCAGGGCTAGTGGCCTCCAGAGTGCAGAATGTACCAGATGTCCGTAATAGAGACCTGTCAGCATGGGGGATGTGTCAAATGGCGGTGTGGGTACGACCCCCTCCCCCTCGAAGAGGGTCCAGACACGACCCCCCCCCCCCTCTTGCTCTAACTGACAACCAGATGCAGTTAAGCCAGCAATAATGACTTCCTGAAAAATGGAAATCTGGGTTTCTTCGAAAAAGGCGCAACTCTGCTCTAAAATACAGGAAATAAAAGGCTGTTTCAGCCTCATGCAATATGAGGCTGAACAACAGCCTCGCATTACCTACAATTTTGTCTTAGGATTCAAAATAAAACTCCTCGTTCGATAACTATGTATGACATGCAACTTGTAAAAAGAAACACAATTGAAATAGCGGCTAATGGTGATCATTGATAGGCTGAATTGGTGAAAAAATAGCCCCAAGGTGAGCGTGTCAGGGCCCAGATGTGCATTCAATGAATGGTGACGGGGAAATAATGAAAACATGCACGACGCAACAAAGCGAAACATGGAAAAACATGGAACATACAAAAATTGCAGAGCTAAATGAAAAAAGGACAACCAGGCCGGCAGTAAATCGTTCCATACTTGGCTATTATCGATCAGGCTGCAGGGTGCAAGGCTGCGACCGCTTTCTTTGGAAAAACGTCATTAGAGCGCGGTTTTTTTACTTGCCAACGTCCTGGGGTCTGTTCGGGGGGTTATATCTTTTTTTAGGTGCGGAGCTTTCGAGGAATGGTGAGCAGCATGCAACGGCAAAGTTTCTACTGTTGCGTATTCTACCTAGTTGCAAACTGAACAATCCAGAACCCGTTGGTGAAATATTCCGGATGGGTTTTGGATAGGCTAGGGGTAAATCGCGAGCTGGTTTCCATGCTTCACGCGAGGATTGCTTCGTTCAAACGCAATTTCATCAGGATTAAAAACGTCCTGAAACCCCTCCATCCTTTCTCTTTCCAACAAGCTTCACACGGTTTTTCTGAAGACCCACTAGTTCAGGAGATATTTTAGATGGGTTACCCTTGCGCTACCCCCTGGACCACCCGAAAAATTGACTCCTTATGTGCCATTGTGAGGATACACCCGTTCCTGCTTTTCAGTTGTGTCCTTCTCGCCTCCAAAAATACATATTTCCCTTCAAATGAGTGGAAGAGGAGCTCGGCTATCACTAATCGGTGGTCCGTGCGCCGTGCATTAGGCTCCTACGGAGAGGTGGTGGAAAGGTGTAAATTCTAATTTCAGGTGCTTTTATCCATGCAAGCAGATGTTTGTTTAGGGTTTGTAAAGGACCCGACAGGAATCTGTTTGAGACGTATTATTTAGTCATCTACGTACTTACGAGTTCATGCTATAAACTGACACTTATTATTTATTTATTTATTCTTGCTATATTGCTAATAAATCTTTTATTATTTTGTATTCCTATTACATCCGGGTCTTCTGAAGCTTTCCGTCCGTTCCATTACCCTTAGCAATGACACCTTTGTACTGTTTGATGCCTAGCGAGCCTACTTTTGCGATACTCCCCACGTCCCCCGCGGCCAAGTACGAACCCATTCTTGGGGATTTCCCATGAAAAGAGGGCTGTTAAACGTAGCATTTAAAGCTGTAAAGAATACACTCATAATAAACTTCATTTTTTTTATAGCATCTTGACTTCCATAGCTCCACTCCCACTATCAACTGAAATGTCGAAGCATTGCTCGGCTCTGAGTGACCCTTGAGGTTTACGACCCCCCCCCTCCCCCTCCTGCGCCAGAGTACGACCCCTAGTGGGTTTTCGCACAACGATGCTGGTACCGTCCCCTGATAGAGACTAGCGGCAGATAGATTAGGGAAATAAGCTGGCCAAGGAATGAGAACTTGTTAAGAGCTCAGGCCCTCAGAGCGATGGCGGATTGGTGAGGATAAGTACTCTAATGGAATATGAATGGAAAATGGAAGGTATTGGATACAGTGACTGGTCCGGGCTGTGGACTTATCAGACCTGAAAGGGGTATACGGACATACTGAACTCGATCTCTTCGATCGCGCCAAATTTCTGTTTTTCTCTGCGCTCTCACGTCTGCATAATATTCTGTGCCCATGTGACTTTAAAACTCCAACATCTCAATTATCGATGTATGGCCCCAACTGACACCGAAGAATCGTCCTCCTTTGGAAAAACTCATCACTCTTGTAACATGTTTTGTCGCAATTGGTTTGTTTTTGGCACCTTTTCGATGCCTAAAGGTGACCAGCACGATGACTTTCCTTTCACTCGTGCGATTCTGACTATCGCCGCCACAGGACTGCACCCAAGCAGGGTCCTGACGACGTCAGAAGCGGCCCCAGGCGAACATGGTCTGATTTCTGCGCGTCGAAGGGCTCATGACCTCTGTGTAGGAAGAGAAGCGCATGTTCTAGGCCGCCGCTCCAAGCTGTGTTACGTGCAGGGCACATCGGTTGTTGGGAATCCCCAATAGGAAGGTCGTATTTTTGCGCGCACCCAGAGGAGGAGTGCGTATTTTGGGCATTGGGAAGAATTTATTTTCGATAGTTATTTTCTCGTGCACAGCGCTTGTAAAGGGGGGGGTCGTAATTGGTCATTGTTGGGAGGAGGAGAGAGTCTTCGCGTTGTGGCGTTGTAGGAGCGGTGGTTGACCCTTTGTTCGATGAGGAGGGTTAGAGCGCGCTCTTTTTGGGGGGGGGGGAGGGGGTCGTACCAGCTCCCCGCTCAAAAAATAGGGAGGGGTCGTACAGACTCGACTGAAATCCCCAACCAATGATATGCCCTGGTTGGCGTTATTTTTGTGTCCGCTTCGGCCTGATTTCCTTCTATTTTCTCCTTTCGTTTCCACTTTGGTTCATGACCCTTTCTTTGAGTCAAACCTGATTGTGCATATTATTGTTACAAAATGCCGTTAGAATCGGGTTTCTCTTCATCATTATTCATCAATAAATACATTTTTCTCTCTGCAAATGTCGGCAGCTGTGTTATTTGTCTTTCCGAGGAAAAACCCCCACTTAGTGGAGATAATTAATGAGTGCGGCTGACAGGGCTGTGTTTCACTGCACCCCGACAACGATGAACATTCGCAGCAATTTCGCGCTCCAATTACGTTTTGATCTGCTTCGCTGATAATGGGCGGAGCTTTCGAGTTTGTCACACATGCATTTGGAGGGGGTGTTCGTGGGGGCGCCAGTTTGACCGTTTTCGCCACCATTTACAAATTGTCAGTGTTTATTGCGCTATCGCGTTATCAGCGATCGGTCAGGTGTTTTGCGGGGCGCCTGTCAGATGATCTTGGACCCCCCGTGATCATCAATAGTCATCGTTTTCGTCCTCGTTTCGTCTCGTACAACGCATTGATCGCCTCAGTTCTCGTCATTTGTCGTTCGATCCTTCTCAGTACTTTTCTTGGATAATGCTGTGATGTCCTTAAATCGATACTTTCGATCGATATTGTTGCAGAATGGTGCAGAAACTCGAGAACGAGCCGACGTCCGACGATCAGCCCAAGAATCCACCTTCTCCAAAAAGTCGTCTAGCGGTTTTGAAACGAAACAAGAAACGTGAGTTCAAAACATTTATTGATGGGGGGGGTGTTTCTCTCTGGTCAGACCCTTTTTATTTATTTATTGATTTATTTGTTTTCTTTAATCATGGTGTGTCCCAAATGAAAGCTGTTGTAGTGAACTGGCCATTTCGGTGCAGGAATTCCCAACCGCAAAAATTTTTGGCCGCACTTCGACTTCGGGGGGCATCAAAAGGTAATCAGCGAAGTCAGACCAATTTGGGCACTACTCAACTATTACTACTACCTCAACTTTCCGAAAACAGGCCGGATTTTGATCGACTTTTTTCTACGGGGGGGGAGATTTGGCTGAAAGTTGGGTTCTAGGGGTAATTCGACCTCCTGAACACGAATATCACATCCACTTGGCCTGAAACTGCCTGGCGCCAGCGCCAAGGTACGTAGACGGTATTTCTCGAGTTTCGATATGCTTTTAAGCCTTTGAAAACGATGATATTTTGGAAACGCGCAGAAAGAAGATTTCCACTTTATAAACCTGTTGTTATGACGAAGCCGATAATGGTAACCTTTAAAGCCTTTTTGCATACGCCTCCGCTGGGTCGTGAGTGAAGTGGTCCGACCACTCCTGAACCATCTGCCCCTCTTGTTGTTAACCGTACTGTGCCTATGAAAGATTTCGCTTCTTATTTGTTAGAAGGGCCCTAAAACGCATTGGAAAACTGTTTGAAAGATCGTGATAGTCAGCGAAATGGTGATTTCTTTGAATTTATGGGTTTTTCCCATTCCCACTGCCTTTCATTTTTGATTTTTAAAGTAAGGGGGTTACTTTATTGTCATTTCTATTGTTTCTGCTGATTTTTGCCTCTATTTCTTCGTATCTAGTTCAACGTATGGAAGTGTACACGGGCAAATACTACGTTCAAGCCGCGCAAACTAGATGCTCATCAAAGTTAGAGCTAGTTTTAGTTACACTGACTAAGAAAATCCAACCGGTTAAGCTAGTTTGATTCTTTCAACCACCTGGCTTTGGCTGCTGTATTCATATTGTCAAGCCCTTCTATGAGAGAATGAAAATGAGTACCTAATAGACCCTCGAAGAGCTCTCCAGCTTTTTTTTACAGCTGTATTTCTGCTTGTAGGCATAGCACTTAACAACAAAGTAATAAAAATGCCTTGGAACAGGATTTTTATTGCTACATGTTCAGTCGAAACTATTGCTGTTCAATGAAGTGTTTACCGCGGCGCATGAGTCAGTCAACGAAGGGTAATAAATGTGCTGCTATTTTGAGAAGAAAAAAGAATTAGCGGAAAAATCATTGTGCTTTTTTGGAAATCTCTGTTCGTTTCACATCGACAGACAAGCATTTAATTTCATGAAAATAGTTCTATGAGGAGCTTCTTTACAAATTCCCGAAAAGAAGCATTTGAAATCCTTGTTTTCTTATCGAACTGAACGCGTTCTCCCCAAGAGGACACCTTCTTGAAGGTACACATCGCGCTTGTCTGATGTTCAGATGCTTTCTTTGGATACGGTATAGTAGTGGATTCTGCCCGCAAGCATGGATGATGCGTTACTTTCGCACCTCAAAATACGTAAGGAAAAGGCCCACCCGCTAAGAAGCCAGCAGCCCTCCCACTAGCCACGGCAACGCCCTGCTTTCATTGCTTAAAGCTCCCGTTCCGCTATCAACTCTCTCCATAGTCTCCACAGTGAGAGGGGTGGTTAGTAGAAGGGCTGGTGCTAACTAGTGAGAACTCGTCCAACCACGCCCCTTCGCCCAGTCACATTCAAGTGCAGTTCAGCATAGGATTCTATAGAAAATGGGTCATTTTTTGTGCTTTTTTTTCTTTTTTTTGTGTTAATCGCCGTTTTGTCATTAGTTTTGATATCTGAGACGCAAAACTCAAGATTTCTGAAAGCGTGTCTTTAAGTTTTGCGAAAATTCCTTCATATGTAGAGAATGTTAAGAATTTCATTCCTAAACCGCTCTTTTTTCACAAGTACGTTCGCACGGGCCCTTTCCCTAGGTCCAGGTGGAATTTCTCTCTTAGCACAGAATCGTTTCTCCTCATCTTCTTGCAATACCACACACAGAAAAAATAGCGCGAAGTGAAGCTTATTCCACTTCGTTACTTCACAGTCTCCACAGGACTACCTGCGTTGGAAGGATTTAGCCTAAATGCTCCCCTCGCTCCTTTCCTAACCGAGCTGCGACTTGAACTGGTTTGAAAAAAGCAATTTCACTTATTGGAGTAGTATCCTTACAATTCAATGGAACGTAGCTCACTACGACTACGATTTTATGAAAAGGATTGGTTTATTATTTCGTTGTCAATGATGTCTCGAAAGACGTCATTAACGGGTTGCATGACGTCAGTGACACGTCATATCTCTTTTGTAACCCACTGAACCGCTATTCCTGTCACATCAGTGCTGAGAAATCTTTTCACTTTTGTGCATGCTAACTGACGGACAGACTGATGCTTGATAGTTCTTCGATTTTGGCCTCGGTCCAACAGCGACGATTTGGCACGTGAACACGTCAAATTCTCCTTTTTGTTTATAAACCGCTGTTTATCTGACTGTGTGAGACTCATGTGAGTGTTGAAATTCGATCATGTTTGCGTCAGTAAACCCCTTAGGGGACACATGGTCGTATATTCCATCGGATTATGCGTGTCAATCTATTATTATTGTTGAAAATAAAAACAACAAAACTCTGGGAGGGGTTAGCTCAACTCATACATGTATCTAGTTCTCCTTGTCAATGCGACATTTTTCTATGAGACTGCTTTCAGCAAATGCGACGTCGGATCCGTTCCGGTTTCAGGGCAATGGCGTCACATACAAGGTTCGTTTCGTCCGCTCGAAACGGGTTTCTTTTATCATCAATGGGATTATCGATTTGGAAATTTGTTTCTTTCAAGGGGAAATTGATCGGTGAACGGGATGTAGACAGTGCACGAGGGGATGCGATGTGTGCGGATGCAATGCGAGCAGCAAAAGCGGCTGTTAAAGCTGCTGGTGCTCACAAAACGCGAATTATTCTTCAAATTAACATCGATGGAATAAAAATTGTCGACGAAAAAAGCAATGTAAGCCTATAGTTTCATTTTTCATTTTGGATTTAACATTTAAGGGATTTGGTTCATTTTCCCTGGAAGGAGCGATAATCTAACTGTTGCCAGCAAGAAGGAAGTAGACATGGCACACACTGTCAGTGAAAAATCTCGCGAAATGCGACCCACACCCCTCCCACTCAAATTTCCTCATCTAGCACGAATGCCCTTTTTCCATATCAAATTAAACCGAAATCTTCCTGAACTTTCTCGACTTCCGATCACATCTTTGGAGTTTTTTTTCCGGAGGTTCCTCCACTTTCTCTCCAAAAAAATGCCATGACGTGGAAAAGGTGACGGGAGAGGAAGTATATGACGTGAAAACAGCAAAAGCCGATAAAAGTGCACAACAGAAAACATTCTCTTCGAAGACTAAAACGCACCCCCCCCCTCCCTCCTCCAGCGAGGGAATCGGGCCCCTCTCCTTGGGGACTAAGTACGTGCCTGCGGTGAATGAAGGGTCTACAAGTTCGATCGAGGGCAATGTGTTTTTTTCAAGCTCTTCACGTCCCCAATCTGCTTTGCAGATATGTACCTTCAGCAATCTATCAGAAGTGCTCTCCCCCCCCGTCAATCCCGTCTATCCACCTCCTCCCGTCTAGGCCTGTGAGGGCAGTGCGGGGGGACGGTAGCACTCACTGTTAAATAGCCAGTGACCAGAAGAAGCAGAAATACGACGTCGCTCATAACGGACCAGTATGCGAGACGTCGTTGAGATTTCACCGATCGCGCCTCGCTAGCCCCATTGAGACGTTCACAAGGGCTCTTTGTGTAGGAACCGAGGTGACTGGTGGCAGAAAATCACTCCAAAGAACTTGGTTCGTTGCTTATCCCGTTCTGCGTTCATATGATATTGCAGCCTTACTGCGTCAATAGTTTTTTGTATTTTGTTCTCCCCCTCCCCCTTTCCTTCCTTCCCCTTCTGAAAGTTCTGCGCCTCTGGCCCTTTCGCATGCTGTATGGACCATTCTTGATCATTTACTATCTGCGTCTCCATTAATGTTCCCCTTGCTTTTATTCCATCACGTATAAAGGCTGGTGTCTGTATCCTCTATTCGCTGGCTCTGTGTCTATTTGGTTTCAACACACTGGTCGGTGAGCGCACGTCCCGCGAAGTAACGTTTGAATCGACGACTATCCTCTTGCTACTCTGGAATACGCACCACTCCCCGCTGCAAACAGGCACCTTTGAAAAAGGAAACGTTGGAAGCAGGACTAGTTGAGGAGGTTGACTAAGCCCAAAACCTCTTTTTTCACCCCAAAAAAAAAAAATTCGGGAATGTGGTCGCCCGCCACGGCACAAAGCTTCAATCCTCGTCTGTCTGACTACACAGATATAGTTGTGTCCACTATGCTGTCGACATGGGCGAGGAGGAATTTCAAACAGTAGAAGGAAGTTTCGGTCCAAAGAATCGGGGTGGGGGGAGGATTTTCAAGTTTAACGGACTCACCCATCGACTGTCGACCATCTAAATCGGCCTCTTCTCGAGTTGACAGGTTTTACCATGATGGCTTGACGAGCTTGCTCCAGCTTCACAAGAGTTCACAGGTTTCACCAGAGTGAGACTTGTAAACCAGAACTAATGAAGCAACGAAAGTGCAAAATGCCCCCCCCCCTCGGCAAACTGTGCCGACTAATTCTGATGATGGTGAGAAATTGTTCCTAAACGACCTTTTCAGAAGTATTGAAGATTCCCCATGAATTACAAGCACAGTTTTAGGCTGTGCTGCATAATTTTCCGGTTTCGAGGGTGTCCTTCATCGCACGCGATACAACTGATGCACGAGCTTTTGGAATTGTTTTTGGACAACCAGACAGTAGGTTGCAATTGGCATTATTTTTCCCTGAAATTGATTTTTTTCAGGGGAAAACTTGAATGAGTTGAGTGAAATATCGTTTCTATGTACCAGAATTCAGATAAATACAAGTTCTACGGGATCAAAACAGCACAGACTGCTGATCAAGCGGTGCTAGCAATACGGGACATGTTCCAGGTATTGTTTTGATTTTCTTTTTTTTACAATTCGTTGCGGATATTTGGAGCATATTCGGGAAATCATTGATTGATGTTTTCTGTAGGTTGTTTTTGAAATGAAGAAGAAGCACATTGAACAAGTCAAGCAACAGCAAGAAGAGCGGAAGGTATGTGATTTCAAATTTGCTTTTTGGTGCACTGGAAGGGGGGGGGGGTCGTGGGGATTTGCACTCACGCTACTTCCCATCCTTGTATTGAGCCATCGAGTGCCGACCTATAAAATCCTGTGAAGCTGTGAAGTTATACCAGTGGAAGTTTGTAAGAATTACCTGTCAGCTCTTGTGAATACCTGTTACCTCTTGTAATCCATAATGCAATGAAGACGTCGATGGGAAGTGACGTGAAAGTGCAAAATA